TCAGCCAGCTGGGGGCAGCTCCCCACCTTGTGCTGCCGTGAGCACAGCCACACACGGCTGGACCCGGCCGCACCTAGAAGCTGGAAGCCGTCCACATCTGGGAGAGGTCGGAAGAGCTCAAGTCCCACAGGGGCCCTGGGAGAGGGCAGGTGTGGTCTCTGCTTTCAAGACGCTGAAGACACGGCCTCGGCTTCGAAGATGCACGGTGACAAAACAGCCAAGCAGAAGAGTTTAAAATATTAACCCAGCTTCAGAAAGTTAGATATTTAAGAAAAAAATACATACTAGGTACACACTAAGAGAAACTAGAAATTTTCAAAATAACTTTTTAATAAAAAAAATTTTTTTAGATGTTTATTTTTGAGAGACAGAGAGTGAGCAGGGGAGGGGCAGAGAGGGAGGGAGACACAGAATCCGAAGCAGGTTCCAGGCTCTGAGGTCAGCACAGACCCGGACGCGGGGCTCCAACTCACAAACCATGAGATCATGATTTCAGCTGAAATCAGACGCTTAACTGACTGAGCCACCAAGGCACCTCGGAGCCCTTCCTTTTTAAATGTTGAAAAATTTTTCAAGGATAGGGGCTCCTGGGTGGCTCAGTTGGCTGAGTGTCCAACTTCAGCTCATGTCATGATCTCATGGCTCATGAGTTTGAGCCTGCATTGGGCTCTATGCTGACAGCTCAGAACCCGGAGCCTGTGTCTCCCGATTCTGTCTCCCTCTCTCTCTCTGCCCCTAACCCACTCGCATTCTCTGTCTCTCTCAAAAATAAACATTTAAAAAAATTTTTTTAAATTTTCAAGGATAAAGTTAATGGTGATAGAAAGATCCACAGACAGAGTAAGAAAATAAGAAGTCTTAAGGATTTGCCAGCAAAGGCACCTAACCATTTAGCTCCGAGGAATGCCTGGAACAGCGAGTCAAGCCATACAAAGGAACCCTTAAAAGGCAGCTGCATTCCAGAGTCCCAGCAATTGATATGCAGCTCAGGTCACTCACTGTCATGCAGAACATGCTAATGACACGTTATCAAGGAGAAGGCTGCTCCAGGAGGAGGCTCCCAGGACACCTGCAACCTCTGGGCAGGCGGGAGCCCAGCACCTGGGTCTGAGACAGGGCAGCAAAGCAAAACAAACCTCATCTGGATTTTCTCTCTGCCCCTCCCCTGCTGGTGTGCGCTCTCTCTCTCCTAAAATAAATAAATAGACTTTAAAATAAAAGCTGACGGGTGCCGGGGTAGCTTAGTCAAGTCAGCATCTGGCTCTTGATTTCAGCTGAGTTCATGATCTCATGGTCGTGGGTTTGAGACCCAAGTCCGGCCCAGCACTGATAGCATGCAGTCTGCTTGGGATTCTCTCTCCCCCCAGCGCCTGGCTGTTTTCTCCTCTGCCTGCTGCCATGAAAGGTCCGAGGCAGGGCAACGAAGGAAAACAAACCTCATCTGAAGAGGAACCCCCCCCCCTGCCCCACCCCAAGGCCACATAAATGCTGCTCAGGACCCCAGACACCCTGTGATAGGGGCAGAAATGACCAGAAGTCCAAAAGGAGAAAGACTATATACAGACACATACATACACACACACCAAATGCCCAGGGAATCCCATCAACACTGGTATTATTCAAATCTACATTGTTGATTTGGGGATGCGGCCGGTCAGCCCCATGTCTAACTGTGCTTTCCAGATCCGAGAGGTGGCGGTTTTATTTCCAGGTTCTTTCTGCTAGTGATGAGCCCTGTTGTGGCCCTGGGTTCCTCTCTCTGAGCCACAGGTTTCTGCTCCGTCTCACACAGGCCCTCTGCTCCTGGTCACCCGTAGCCCAGGACTGGTCTCACTCTCCAATGCTTGCGTGGTTCACAGTCTCCACTCACCTCACTGGGCTATAAGCGCCTCCACGGAGGGCAGGAGACCAGGCTATCTTCTTGAAGCCTCACAAGCAAATATCGCATGCACCATGGCACACGGTCACCCAAACATCAACGTACAAATGCATCTGCTGCTTTCAGTCACTGTGCACAATGGTAAGGAGCAAGGCTGTGTTGCTTTCCTTCCTCCCTTCCTCCCTCCCCTTTCTTTTATGTTTATTTTTTATTCTTGAGGGAGGGAGGGAGAGAGGGAGAGAGGGAGAGAGAGGGAGAGAGAGAGAGAGAGAGAGAGAGAGAGAGAGAGAGAGAGAGAGAACAAGTGGGGGAGGGGCAGAGAGGGAGACAGAGAATCCAAAGCAGGCTCCAGGCTCTGAACTGTCAGCGCAGAGCCGGATGTGGGGCTCGAACTCACAAACTGTGAGATCATGACATGGGCCGAAGTCGGACGCTTAACCGAATGAGCCACCCAGGTACCCCATTTCTTTTTTTTTTTTTTTAAGTTTACTTATTTACTTTGAGAGAGAGAGAGAGAAAGAGAAAAGAGAAAGAGAGAAAGAGAGCAAGCTGGGGAGGGACAGAGAGAGGGACAGAGAATCCCAAGGAGGCTTCACACTGTCAGCTCGGTGCCTGACACAGGGCTCGAACTCACAAACTGTGAGATCATGACCTGAGCCCAAGTCAAGAGTCGGATGCTTCACGGACTGAGTCACCCAGGCGCCCTGAGAGGCTGCATTTTCTGAGACGCAGCCAGTCAGGTTCTCAGAGAAATAACTGCAGGTGAACATTCCCATCATAACTGAACATTTTTAGACTGCTCTGGAATCACTAATTAATTCAGCACTGCTTTGCAAGTTGGGTTAACCATTGTCTCCATCAAGGAAAAGAGAAACATTTCTAGCTCTCGGATGACTTACGTAACGCGTACCACAGGGTCCTCCTTTCCTAAGTACTTAGAGGGACAATGAGAGGAGAGGGACACACGGTCACTTCTGACTCGGACACTCATTTCTTGCTCACGGCTCTTCCTCCTGATGCACTTTAGTGTGTGAGGCCATGGTGAGGCTCTGGCCCACGTTTCATTTGGGGTTTCACTAGGCAGACGCTTCCCATCACAGCACCATTTACCAGCTGTGTGACATCGGCAAGAGACAGTGTGTCACCAAGCCTCATTTCCTCACCACGGGATACCGCGGGGGGGGCGCCACGCGAGGCAGAGGCGGCAGAGCCCCCCGCGCGGCAGGATCCACGT